TAAAAATTAGATGTTTTTAGATTGTTTTCAACGAGTGGGAAGTGTTTATATGACCCTTTTTTGTCGACACTGAAGATCCAGCGATGTGTTAGATCCAACATGAGTGGGAATTCATTAAAATAATCAACCAGTCACACGAAATCCGACAATACAAATCTATTCAAACGGTTTCGATTTGAATAGCAATAGAATTTTTGAGAAAAGGTTCTTGTTTTAAAGATTGATCTGGAAACTCGATTTATTCGGGAAAGATATTAGAATAATCAAGAATATTAATTGGTGCGTTAGGCATTCCATGTGCGTAAGATCAAGAAAATGAACTGAGCTAGTGATATGTTCCGGGAAGGAGTATATTTGTTCGAAGTAGCAAAGTGGTTTTGGACTACTGTAACCGGGTAGGACAATCTTGCAGGTAAACGTAATGGACTGGTCCTCGTCGTAGCGGTAGGCAATCGGCAATAGGCATAGGCCAATAAGCATCGTCAATAGGCGTCCCTTGTACCTCCACATCAGTCTGTATTTATGGCTGACACCAGCCAATCATATTACTGTGAGGGGGAAACCCAGGCGTATGCATATTGATTACATAAGTTAGTATTCCTAGAAAAATAAATTTGCGAAAGATAAAGTTGTGTCTTCTGAATAGATTTATTTATTTACAGCGGGACGATCCCAAAAGAACTAGAAGTCATACCCGGATTTATTATTAGTGGGTAGAATCTTAATAGCATAAGGTACGCAGATGACACCATTTTGATACTTCAATAAAATACAGTACTTCATAGACAATGTAGCAAGGGAAAGCTGGAAGAAAGGACTAATAAAAAAAAATTGTAAGAAAACAGAATATATGATTGTCAGCAAGAATAAAAGAACAAGAAGGGCGACAAAAAGTGGAGATGTCAAAATAAAAAAAATGGAGAATACTTTAAGTATTTGAGAAGTATTCTTTTTTTTTTACAGAGAATGCAAAATGAGCTATCGAAATCTGAAGGGTCAATGGAACTGCAAAAAATGCCTTCCAAAACCTAAACAACGTATTAAGAAGCGGGAAAGTTTCGTTAAAAACAAAACAAATTGATTGTTTTGTTTACTACGGTTTATCAATGCATTTGCAGATTTATTTAAAGACCGAAAATATTTTTACACTGAAGACTTATATTTCGAGATAAAAACGGTTTAGTAATAAAAGTCTTAATAAACCATAGCAGAAGGGAGAAGAGGTGGATTCATACCGTAAGCTTAACCGAATACAACGAACCCAAAGTGAATTAGAAGTCAGTTGTCCGATTAAATATTCCGAGCCATTCCATTGTCCATTACGTAACTGTTATATAAAACTTACATCAACTGGTATTCCCAAGCGGTCACCCATTTAGGTTGTCAGCAGTCACAACGTTGCTTAGATTCGGTGACCGTACAGGGAACCAGTGAGAAAACAAAAACAAAACAAATAACACACACACACATATATATATATATATATATATATATATATATATATATATATATATATATATATATATATATATATATATATTAATCTCAGTGATTGTACAGGAACCGGTAAGAAGCAAAGCAAATCCTTTAATATATATATATATATATATATATATATATATATATATATATATATGTATGTATGTGTGTGTGTGTGTCTCTCTCTGTATATATATATACATATATATATATATATATATATATATATATAAAAGCAGTTATGGTCAATGATGATATGAATGATGCTAAGAAAATCATGGATGAAACATGCAAATATCTACAAAGCTTTCATGGAATTTAGAACAAAAATGACACATGTATTTAGAACGAAGAAAGAGTGCTTGGAGAATTTGGAACTCACAAGATAGTCAAGGCAAGGAAGAACGTAGGGAAAATGCGAGCCACAGTTCTAACGTGATTGGATGAACGGTTGTGTTTAATAGTTCCTAGGATGGATAGTAATTTGATAAGCATTACTCAGAGGTACGAAACAGGAAGTTTTGGAGAGCCATGATCGCATATTTGCTGAAGGGAAACACCACATTGAAGAAGAGTATCGGCACAGTACTCTCCCACAACACAAGATCTAATTGCAACATACGTTAGAGGCTAATATTCAGACACAAATGGTTCATTTTTTAATCAATTTCTCCAAAGAGTACTGCCGTCCCAGGTATGACGATAAACTACATCCGCTTCCTGGGTAAGACGATAAATTACATCCAACAGCAAGGCTTCTGATCCACCTCTTAATTGCTTGTGTTCCCAGATCTAACCTGACCTGGGTCGGTAGCACCTGTTAGGGTCCCAGCTATGGGCGGGTAGTTAACATCGAAATTACTAGCAATAATTTTTGAAGGAAAAATTATTATCAGCTATATTTAAATATAAATAAATAAAAATACTAGTAATACACACTGTTATAAATTCTTAAGAAGTTGGATAGTACTCAAAAATATGAGTAATTGAAAAATGGTTCAAATATATATATACACTTTTT